GAGTTAAATACTTGTGTCTGCACCCCACTCCTCATGTCTTCTGGTTTGACACAGAATGCCCCTCTCTTGTTAGGGGGAAGGCAACTTGGCCAATTCACATGTTGCATGGACTGAAGGGAAGCCTGGGACAGGACATCTGGTTGACCAAGCCCAGGTTGCAGGCTCATGTGTAGACTTCAGTGAGCAAAGACAATGAGTATTGAAATGTGTAAGATCTCCAGTGAGAGGAAGCAGTAACTTCCTCATGGTCATATTGTTGGGAGTATCCCCAAAGGAGGAACATTTGTTCAGTAGGCAAGCATCAGAGAAAAAAACTGGCGCCTCCCCCAGTAGGAGAGTGGAGGCACTGTGGGTGACAGAGTAGGTTGGAAGAGGCTTGCTCTTCTGGATTCATGAGAAACACTATATAGCCTTCATGTGATCACAGGGGCCGGCGACCTTGAACTAGATAGAGAGACGATGCGGCCCAGCCAGCACTTCTGTTCCTTCCCCATGAGTTACAAAACAACGTGATTCCTGCCAAGGACTGTCAGAGACTTTTCCATCTGCCTCGTTATAGCTATCCCCTAGGGTTGTCAATCCCAGAAGTGACCCAGTGCTGCCATCCTGCTGTATTTCTGAACTCTGTGGACCTCGCCCCCAGCATCAAAGGGCTATACACTTGGTCTGTGCACAGAGGTCTGTCCCTATGCCTCACCACAGGGTATTGCACTTGAACGTGTGAGATCCGTCCCTTGTGTGTACAGAAAGGAGGTATGTGATGCCGTGCCAGGAGGTGACGTCTCCACAACAGTGTGGGATGGTTCAAGGAACATTGATGACTGGTGACTTGTCCCCCAGGCTGACCCTTAACCTGGATCAGGGTCCCAACGGCAAGGAGGGTAAGTGAGATGCTGGCTGTGCCTCACAGGCTCAGAGGGCTTCAGCTTTAGACACCATTTTCACTGTTGGAGATAACACAGCCACCTAGGAGATGAGATGAAGTGTCAGGGCCACACACCATGCCTCTTGTCCCTTGGTCCATGGCAGTCCAGTGGTTTGCTTCACAGTCTGAAATAAATTCTGTGCTTCCCCTATGAATTTCTCCATTGGAATTTTGTGTTAAAAGTGGTCATGGCCTGGGGAGAGGGCTCAGTGGGTAAAGCTTACCATGCTGGCATGAGTAAGGACCTGAGTTCAGATCCCCAGAACCCACACAAAGCCAGATGCAGTAGCACGTTTGTAATCACAGAGCTTCTTCTGTGAGATGGAGAACAGAGACAGGTAAGTTCCCAGAAGCTCGAGGACCACCTACCCTGGTGTGGGCAGCTGTGATTAAGAGACCTTGTCTCAAACAAGGTGAAAGGTGAAGATTAGCACTGACCCTGTCCTCTGCCTTCCACACACATGCCATACATCCGTGTGCCCACACCCATGTATGTGCATACAGACATGTGGTGGATTGAAAGAAAATGGCCCCCACAGGAAGTGGCCCTATTAGGAGGTAGTTGGAGGAAGGCCTTGTTGGAGGAAGTGTGTCACTGTGGGGGCGGGCTTTGAGGCCTCTTTTTCTCAAGTGTGATAGTCATTCACCTTCCTGTTGCCTGCAAGATGTAGGACTCTCAGCTCCAGCACCACGTCTGCCTGCACGCTGCCATGTTCCCTGTCACGATGATAATGGACTGAACCTCTGAAACTGTAAGCGAGCCTCCCCAATTAAATTTCTTTATAAGAGTGGCCGTGGTCATGCTGTCTCTTCACAGCAATAGGAACCCTAGCTAAGACAGCTCAAAAGTGTTCATATATCCAATACAGAACTTAAAAAGAAGCCACAACGGGGCATTGCTTGTCTGTCATTTTGCATCACGTTTCGGTACTGAGGGAGGTCAAACTCTAGTGGTTCCCTGGATGGTCTGGACTCTGAGGGCAGGTGGGAAAAGCTTGACTTCCCCACAGCTCTCTGAGTCATCACAGCTCCAACACTACCATACATGGTGTACCCCTGGAGCTCCTGGGGTACTCAGGGGGTGAGGTCCACAGAGTTCAGAAACAGAAGGTGGCTTAGACTGTGAGGGTTTTGAAAGGGTTCTGGAAGTGGGTAGAAGGGCATTCCCTCACAGGACAACTTCCTCTTTAAGGAACTTACAGCCTAGAGTGACGTAACAGGAAGTGTGGGCAAGACTGCTACCTCCTCACCAGGATCCAGTCCTGCCCTCTGGGGCTCAGAGCCTGACTTGTTTTTTTTAACTTTTGTTGATTCTTCATGGATTTCACATCATGCATTCCCATCCACTTATCTCTGTGCCCTCAAATCTGCCCTCTGCCCTTGCAACCTCCCCCCAAATCAAAATCAAATTTAAAAGAAAGACAAAAACCCAAACGAAACAAAATAACAACAGAAAACAAAGGAGAAGAACCGTGTTGTGGGGGCTGTAATGTGGCCGGTTCAGTCACACAGTGGGGGCTGTAATGTGGCCGGTTCAGTCACACAGTTTACCCTTTACCCCATTCATCTTTACTTGTTAGTGTTCATTGCCAGAAGTCATTGGTCTGGCTTGAGGCCTCTGGTGTCAGAACCTGCTTTTGCTTCTGGGATCCTGAGCTTCCCTTCAGGTGTGGGTCTGGGGCAATGCCATGGGTGGCTCCTCTGTTTGGGTAAGAGCTCAGTCCTACTAGCCTTGACCATCAAGGCTCAGGCCCAGCTGTGACCCAAGACAGCTGTGTCCTGTGGAGACCAGGAATCTGTGGATACCCGTGGGAGTAGTGAAAAACTGACGCTGCTACCTTTCCCTTCAGAAAGAAAGGGGTGGGGGCAGGGAGATGCCTCAGAGGGAAAGGGCTTGCTCTGTAAGACTGAGAATCGCAGTTCGAATCCCCAGAACCCTTGTAGATGCTGTTCATAGTAGCATAGATCTGCAACAACCCTAGCACCCCTGGGATGATGTGGAAGATGGAGACTTGAGAATCCTCAGAAGCTTTCAAGCCAGCTAGCCTGGAGTATCCAACAACCATGAGACCCTGTCTCAAGGTAGATGGTGAGGACCAATAACTGAGGTTGTCCTCTGTTTCCACATATGTGCCCTGGAACATGCATGCCTGCCATCATATGCACATATATGTGTACATACATACATACATACATACATGCAAAATAGAAATAGGAGGAAGAGAAATAAAAAGATGAAGTCAGAGAGGAGGAAGAAGCGACGGAGAAACAACACAAGACCAAGGTGAGTGGAAAACTCAGTCCCCAGGCGACAGAAGGGAGGGACAAAGCTATGACACAGCCTACCATCTTGCAAAGATGGATGCAGCCTGGGTCCCTGAGTCTGGGCACCAGAGAAGAGCAGTGGAGCAAGTCCCTGCCCCCACGTGGTGCCCTGGTGGTTTTCATGGAGACCACTCACCCTGATTCCCTGCTGGGCATTCCCATGGCAACCAAGCAGGCATCCTAGAACACATGGGAAGATGGCCGCTGATTCCACTTCATTCTCTTGCCAGGTCCGAGCTCCCTGGGAGTGGGAGTCTGCAGAATGGCTGACAGTGGCCAGTGAATCGCATTTCCTTGAGAGCTTGCTGTCAGGACATTCTTTCAAAGGAAATCTTCAAGCAGGGAAATTCTCACTGTACCCTCCCAAGGAGGCCTATCTCCTGTGAGTCTGCTTCTTCACATGTCAAGTGCCAAGTTTTCCTTTCATATATAGTGAGGAGGAGGAGAAGTAGGAAGAGGGGGGGGAGAGGGACAGGGAGGAGGGAGAGGAGGAAGAGGGGGAGGAAGAAGGAGAGGAGGAGATAGAGGGGAAGGAGGAGGAGATGGGGAAGGAAGAGGAAGAGGGAGAGGAGGAGAAAAAGGTTTTGTAAATTCAAAATAAATCCCTAATGCATGTTAGCTGTGGTGAGGACTGAGGAGACTATGAAAGGACCCAGAAGATGGCTCAGGGAAAGTGCCTGTCGCACAGCATGAGGTCCGAGTTCAGATCCCCAGAACCCATATAAAAGCCAGGTATGGGAGTTCACATCTGCAACTCCAGTGCTGGGGGATGGAGACAGATAAACCCTAGGGGCTGGCTGTCCAAACGTCTAGCCAAAACTGCAATCTCCAGATTCATGAGAGAATCTCCCTCAAATAGTAGAGTGGGGAATCTATAGAAGACTTGATATCACAGTCATATGCACCAGCAAACACACCCTCACACATACGCATACAACATACACGTTAACTAGAAACAGATGTGTTTTTCCACCATTCCAAAGTCTAACGTCATTAACTGACTCCTGAGGCCCATAATAGAATCCTCCTGCTTTGCTGTACCTGCCCTCCTGATGTGCCCACCCGTGTACTTTAACTGTCCTTTGGTTTACAGCTTTCATTGCTTTGTTGCTATAAAAACTCCATCCAACTGTTCTGAAGTTGGAACATGTAGTTTGGAGCAACCTGTATTCATGTTCCAGGGTCACGGTCCCTCATACCTTGCTCCAGAATAAACTTTCTTATCCTGGTTGAGGTGAGAGCTGTGTTTTCACACTGATGTGGTGAGAAATTCAGAGAGCACCAAAACAAAGGCCATTCTCAATAGATGCTTTGCTCTTTAGAAATGTACAGAATCGGGCTAGAGAGCTGGGTGCGAGGTTAAGAGCACACACTGCTCTTGCAGAGGACCTGAGTTTGGTTCCTCACAGCTATGAAGTGTAGTTCACAACTACCTGTAACTCCAGATCCAGGGATCTGACGCCCTCTTCTGACCTCTGTAGGCGCCTGCACACATGTGCACGTAACCATACATAGACATACACATGTGTGTGATCGAAATAAAATAGAAACTTAAAAAATATGTATGGAACAGAGTTAGGTTGTTACTACTTCCTAGCTACCGTGAATAGAGCAGCAGTAGGCACGGCTGAGCAAACGTCTGTGGAGAGGGTGAGGAAGCCACTACCCCCTCCCTGGAGCCTTCAGAAGGCCTTGCTGACACCTCAGTTTGGGCTCCCAAGCTTCTAGAACCCTGAGAGGACAAATTCCTGTTGGTTTCTGTTTGTGGCGGTCTGAGATGCTGATACAAGAGCCAAGAACGGGGAATCCCTGGAGGCCAAGATGAGCAGGCCAGCAGCTGAGATGAGAAGCGGCAGGGAGGTAAGAGACAGGGAATTGTAAACATTTACGCCCTGCCTTCCTTTCTCCTCACACATTCATGAAAATTACTTCGCTTCTCAAAATTTCTCTACACAGTCTCCTCCACCCTTTAGCTCCAACACTGGCCTCTTCCCAGGCCTCCTCCTACAGGAAGACGGTCGAGATCAAAAGCAGAGGGGGGAATTTTACTGGCAGAGAAGAAAATTATAGAGGCAGAGGTGTAGAAATGAAGATGAGAGAGTTGGGAGATGTCTTAGTTAGGGTTTCTATTGCTGTGAGGAGACACCATCACCACAGCGACTCTTATAAAGGAAAACATTTAACTGTGGTGGCGTACAGTTCAGAGGTTCAGTCCATTAGCATCATGGTGGGACGGCAGTGTGTAGGCAGACATGGTGCTGGAGAAGGAGCTGAGAGTTGTACCTCTTTGATCCTCAGGCAACAGGAAGTGGTCTAGGTACTGGGTGTATCTTGAGCACAGGAGACCTCAAAGCCCACCCCCACAGTGACACACTTCCTCCAACAAGGTCACACCTACTCCAACAAGGCTGTACTTCCTAACAAAGAGCTTATGGGGGATAATTACAATTAAACTACCACACGAGTTATACGTGGGTTGGGACTAGAACGGTGGTGGTATAAATTGGAGGATGAGAAAAAGGGGGAGATATTTAAGCTGCCAAAGGGGTAAGAAACGGAGCAATAGGACTCTTGGGAGAGTTGAGGTACAACACTTTGTGCTTTCACACATGAGTGGTGTTTCCTTGTTACAGTGTTGCACAGAGTCAGGCCTCTGTGTCTTGGCTTATATGCTGTCAACATAAAAAAAAACACATGGTTTTTCCCTATGGGGCAATGTGAATCCCCACAGTGTACGTTTCAGAATGCCTCTAAAATGAACAGACTGCAGAACTATGGCACATGTCCGTCTTAACTCAACCAATCCTGGTTTTCTGAGGGGAGCTTCAGAAGCAGGAAGCGGGGAGATGAAGTGACAAGACCATTGAAAACACAAGTGACATTGAGAAATGCAGATGTTTGTTATGCTTTGAATCTGAAATGTCTGCCCTTTCCAAGTGGCACTATTTGGGGAGATTCTGGGAGCCTTGGGAGGTGTGACTTAGCCAGCAGATGCAAGGCATCATGGGAGAGTCTTTGAAGATTATCCAAGCCCCTGGTTCTTGCCTTGTACCCCGCTTCCTGCTCTACTGTCATGTGACCAGGCTTACCCTAGCCTTGGGCAAGTTCCTTCTGGCTGAGACTCAGCCTAACTTTGCTATAAGTCAATAGCAATTGTCTCTGTGTCACCCCAGCCTTGGACATCAGCCTCGCCTGGGATGTGGCCTTCACTGCTATTGCCTGTGCTTTGCCACAGTTGGCAAGGTCCTCTCAAAAGACTCATTATGGTGACAGAAAAGGCGTGGCAAGCTTGACTGAAGGGCGGAGACCAAGGCTGGCTATAGTGCTGCCCTGGGGCTTCTTGGACTGGTCCCCAGGGAGCAAGTCTCTGCCTGGTAGCTGACCCTTCCCATAGCCCTGTAAGTTCCCCTGACTCATACGAGCTAGACAGTTCATGCTGTCATAACTGCTCTGCCGGAGGCTGCAGAGTGCTCAGATCACCAAAACGATTATCATTAATAACTATCTAAGGGGCTGATTAACATCCGCACCACACTGCACCGTTTAGATGGGGAATTTAATTTCCCCCATAACTAATAGGTAAGTATACAGTTAGCTTTTCCCCTTAGATTTGTGGAAGGCTGAGCATCCAACACAACCCTCTTGATGTCGTATTGTCATTAAAAGGGAACCAGGCCTCAGCCTCTTTTGCCTGATTTTAAGGCCTGTCAAAGACCCACAGTGAAAGACCAGAAAGTCATGCCTGAATCCTAGATGGGACTTACCATGTGGTATCCCATGTTTAGAACATCGCTCATCCCTGGAGCAAGGGTTACATGTTACAGTCATCAGCTGCTGTGGCGTCCTCCTCTCTGTCTGCTTAGGATACCAGTGACTGGCCTAGTTCTGATTCTCGGATGCCCAAGTGGTCCAGGAGGCCAGAGTAAGGACCAAAATGGGGCAGAAATCAGCTGGAGATCAAAGTCGTCAGGAAGCCAGGAAAGCATGGAAACTTAAAAGAGCCCAGTTCAAAGGTATGCCAGGGACTCGTGGTGAGCTACCAGGGAAAGGGGCCATTGCATGTGGGCGCTAAACAGGCCAACGTGTGATGATGTGCCTGGATGTGACAGCGTAGCAGAATGGGCACTCTGGCTTTGCTGGACGGTGATTGGCTGACTGAGCCTGGGGAAGGAGAAAGACCAGCCATGGTCTAGCCTCTGCTCAAGGGTCCAATGACCAACAGAGCAGTAATAATGGGCCCAGAACTGGAAGAACCTCCTCAGGTTAGAAGACGCTGGCTGTCTTCTTTCCAGGGCCCTGAGGTCTCCAACAATGACTGAACATGCTGACTCACTCGGCCTGGTCTCAGGCCAGTCTGCCCTCCCCCGCCTCCCCATGGGCCTCGTGGGTACCCACATCCTACACTGTCTCTGTCTACGTGAGCAATTCTTGTCATATTCCTGGCTCTTGCTTCTCAGTCATAAGCATCTTTTTATAAGAACAAGCCCCTCAGGGTTCCCTTGGCACTGCAAATACATGCGAATAAAACCACAGATAAGACAATGAAGTTGTGGGCCCTGGGGACTGGGGTGATGGGGGGTAGAACCCAGATTAACCTTTCTGCCCCAAGGGAAGCACACTAGCCAGTAATGACCTAGCAGGATGTTAGAAACCAGGACACGGGTGCCTGGGACTTAGTTCTTCTGGTTGGCATCTTGAGGCCCATAGAAGGTTCCCTTCCCTTGAAAACATTCACAGTGATCTCAGGTCTCAGCCACATCTGCTGAGGGAAACAACACAAGCCCCATCTTGGTAGAGCCAGCCTTGACCAAGCTCCCCTGACATCTGGGGGCATGTACTTAGTACTCTGAAATTATCTTTGTGTGTGTAGATATGTGTTTGTGCGTGTGAATATGTGTACGCATGCAGGTACACGTGTGTGTGGGCACACACATTTGTGTGCATGCATGGGGAGACCAGGTCATCCTCATTATTAGGTGCTTCCCCCTGATTTTTGCTTTCATTTGCCTAAGACTTTCACAGGGCTAGGCTGCTGGACAAGTGAGCATCAAGGTCGTCTTGATTCAACCTCCCCATTCCCACTGCCGAGATTTCACTGGCTCATCACCACACCTGGCTTTTTTTCTAAAACATGGGTTCTTGGGATCAAATACAGATCTCCACGCTTACACGGTGAGCATTTAATTAACTAAGATATCTCTTCAGGCACGAGCATCTTGGGGCTGTGAACACAGAGGCCCTGTAAGGTGGTGGCCTCCTAGACACATCTGGGCCCGGGTGGTTTCTATCTCATGGGTTCCTCCTAGAGCCAGCATCAACTGATGGTGAACAGTCAGGGGAACACTCAGGGAGAAGCCACAGCTAAGCATCCTACAACAAAGAGAACTGAGGACTAGCCCCACATGGTTCTGTGGGGGAGACAGTGGTGGGCTGTACCTCACATAGGCCCATGTGGTCCTGTGGGGTAGGTCATGGGGGTCTGTACCTCATAGCCCCACATGGTTTTGTGGAATAGGTCCAGCTGGGGACTGTACCTCAAATATCTGGTATAACAGGCCAGGACACTGCTTATTCAGTGGGAGGTAGATTAAGTTTGAGATCCATCATTTAGGCTGTCCTGTACTGGATGGAGGAAGCTACCTGGAACAACTTGTCTTAACAACTTTGATTTATACCTGAAAAGCCATAGTGACCATCACTTTCATCCCTCAAACAGTGTCAGGCCTCCTAACATGTATCCACAACAGGGATATCTTCAGGGTCAGGAGTTAACTCTGTGGGTTATAGACAAGAGATACCAAATCAATTGGGTGCTGATTCATTGTGTTCCGAACATTTTCGTTTCCACTGCTGTTCCAGCAGGACCCATCACAGATGGAGAGATCAACATGTGTGTTGATTATTGGGGAACTTCTAAACTCTGCTGATGACATGGCGTCCGCTCATCCCTGTCACTGGAGCAGAAAGACCAATGTCTTCGGAAATACTCATCCCACTCTCACCATCCAAGCCTGTTATTGTTGAGCTCTTTAGAAATCTCCGGGTCAGTTCCAAACAAACACAGTCCACAGGATGGCCACACGAACACACATGCACACACACAGACCAAACAGAGAGTACTGTACTCATGCTTGCCACTTCCCCCCAAACAGGATACATATTAGCATATTCTAGAAGCATCCTCTCACCTCGGGGGACTTAGTGTAGCCTTTCTGTGAGGTGTCCGTCACAGAAGGCTCACTTTAGAGAAACTCCACTTCCTGTCTTGGGACCTGCGTGTTTGGAAGTGCTACTCCACAGCCCACTGCAGGTGCTACATTACCGGCTTAATTGCTTACGCTTTGATGGGGAGGCGGTTCCCACAGTGGTGCACAGGGAAACAAGCCACAGCTGCTCCTCTTTAAGTGGACACCCCAACACCACCTTTGCAATGGCGACTTCGTTATGACTTCCCATCTGCTCTGTTTACACCAGAACCAAGCTCTCTACCAGGCTGAGAAGCGGTTGATCTCTTAGACCCCTCTCATTTTCCAGAGTGCATAGCAAATACTGTCTCTCCCCTGCCCCACCGCCCGTCACTGCACATACCTGGTGTGGTGGCACATGCCTGAAAGCCCATTATCACTCAGGAAACAAAATATGCATGCATGCATGCATATATGTACGTATTTCATGTTATTAAGAGCAGGTTTTGGAATATTGTTACTGTAAAAAAATGAGCATAAAAAGAGTGCTGACTTTGCTTAACTTTTCATGCTGTATGCATAGATCTAAATGTTACATTGTATTCCACAATTATACAAAGTCATTAAAATGAACTAATTGAGAAGTTAAAATTAGCCAAAAGAAAGGCTAACGGGGCCATTACCATCTAAGCTGAAGTACTAACCCTCACTCCTGTTGAAGGGACTGTTTGTGCTGTTCTCTGTTCCCTGTGGGTTCTTGGAGCCAGGGGGTGGATCCCAGCCAGGCCTGAGGGACATCTGGTCAAGGCCACCTCCCTCTGATGTACTCCAAAGGAAAGATGTGACTTCTCAAGATGTTCCTGGGGCATTCAGGCTACACTCAAGATAAGCGCTGCTCGTTATGTTATTATTAATAAGGAGCATCATTAGGTAGCTGAGGGCTCTTCCTGGCTGTGCTGCTCTCTCCCTAATGGATGCCCTCAGTCACACAATGCCCTTCAGGTCCTGCTTCCTGTCTCTCCTCCCACACTTGCATGAGGGTCTGTCAAGCTTTATGTTCAGCCCCCTCAGGGATTACCGCCTCTTTATATGGTGCATGCAGGTGGCCGATCGGTGCAGTTAACGGCCATGGATTTGAAAACATTCAAGGATTTCCATACTTGAACATGATCTGTGATAGGAGAAATTTCTTACTTGCGTGAATGAAGCAGTGTTGGAGGGTAGAGTAATTATTTCACTATTATGACAACAACTTGGCCCACATTCTGAGGGCACAGTCAAAGGCATGGAACCAGGGACATGGGGCAGCTGGTCATGTTGCTTCCAGAGTCGGGAAACAAAGAGAGATGGATGCCGGTGCTCAGCTCGGTTTCTCCTTCACGTTCAGTCCAGGTCCCCAGCCCACGAAGTGGTGCTGCCTTCTCTTTCTAATCTCAGTTAACCTAATCTAGATGTTTCCTCAGAGGCACGCCCAAAGGTTTGTTTCCGTCGATTTAAGTCCCATCAAACAACCAAGGTTAACTGTCCTAGACGGTTAAGCAGGCACTTTCCCAGTAAGGTACGTCTATTTTATTTGACATCTTATGGTAGGTGTGCGGGGATGCCCCAAGTATGACGTCTTGTGTGGGATGAGGATGAGGATGGAGGAGGAAGGCTGCAGTAGCAGAGGGTTGAAGTCCTGGGCAGGGTGCAGTCGTGGGACAGGGACACAGCCACCTCTGTGAGTCACTTTCCTCTCAACATGCCACAGAAAGGGGAAGATGGTGGAGTGGGGAGAATGCTCAGCCGACAGGACAGGGACACGCACAGTTTTGAACACTGCATAAAGCGAGCTCTGTGTGTGTGGGGCCTGGGGCTTCTGCCCGAGTAACCATGGTCCTTCATGACTGCCTCCCAGCTCCAGCCCCTCACCTCACCACACTCCTAGCTGTTTTCAAGGGAAGTCCACACACACACACACACACACACACACACACACACACACACACACACACACAACCTCTGTACTTTCTAGTAATTCCATCCTTCTTTGCCTTCACTTTTTCGACAGTTCTTAGACACAGACAATGATTTTATGTAATGGCTGTCTGTTGAATGTCTACTGTGGGCCCCAGAATGCTCTAGTGCTATGGTGTTGACAGGTGTCCTATAATCTTCCCCTTTGCTGTGATAAAACACTGACCAAACATGACTTGAGGGGGGAAAGGGTTTATTTGGCTTATTAATCACCAGCAAGAGAAGCCAAGGTAGGAACTAAAGCAGAGACCATGGAGGATTGCTGCCTGCTGACTTGCTCTCTCTGGCTTACTCAGCTGCCTTTCTTATACAGCAGAGGTCCACCTGTCTCAGGTGCACTGCTCATAGTAGGCTGGCTTCCTCCTGTATCAATTAGCAATCCCCAACCCCCCCCCCCAGACATGACCACAAGTTGACAGCCAAGAATAACTGTAACTGTGAACAGAGCTTAGCTGGTAATTGCCAGTGACTTTCTGCTCTTGGAGGGTACCCCATAATAAGCAAAGAGACCTGCAGAAGATGATGCCCCCCAAACTGACATTCGGCACTAAGGATGTGGTGCCCAGGCCGGTCAAAGAAGGTAAGGGGGAAGGCTCACACAGGGCATGGCAGCTAGTCATGTGACAGTTCCACAAGCAATAGGCAGAAGACAGGTAAGTAAGTGCTAAAGGCTTCAGGGAACAGCAAGGAGCAGATGAGGGTGACCTGAGTCACTGTGGGCCCCCAGAGAGCAGATGAGGTCATTTGAATGGGCAGGATGTGCTGGACCATTAGAGGACTTTGTGTGACATACTGTCTGCTTTTCTTGCAGTCTAGAAGATGAAGATTCACTTTGTAACATGCCGTTGTGCTAAGCCATTCAGCTAAGCAGCAGCCAGTACTTTCTACTGTTATAATCACCCCCTTCCCTGACTCACCACACCCTTAGAGGAGGACTCCTACAAACCACAGTAACACCTCCATGCGCTGATCTGGACACAGCGCCCATTATGTGGCCATCTCTCTCTCTCTCTCTCTCTCTCTCACACACACACACACACAGACAGAGACAGAGAGGGAGACACAGACAGACAGACAGACAGACAGACAGACAGACAGACAGACAGACAGAGACACCGAATCAGAGACACAGAGACAGAGAGAGCACAGCTAAGGGAATGGATGCCTCCACATTGCCAGGCTATTCCACAGAATTTGAGTTTTTAGGTGTGACGTTTTTGTTTGAAATGAAAATGACAAAATAAAGATAAAGACAGCTACACAAGGATTCCCCATGTGGAAGCAGGATGTCAAATCCACACACAGACAAGGTAGAATTTCAGTCGGCTGGGAAACCTGCCTCCTGGTGGTGAAAAGAGGGAACGCAAGTGAGCCAGGCTTTAAAGTCCTGCCATTGCCAGTCCGTCCTGCCATGGCTCTGGTCTTCTGTCCCAGCAGGGTGTGCTTGAAGATGTAGAAGCATTTAACACGTGGCTAGTGAAGAGCCAAGAACACAAATGACCGTGTGACCCACGGTGTTCACTGTTGTAGGACTACATGTGATCCTGCTTCCCATGTCACCATACCCATACACACCTGAGCACATTCAGAGAGAACCATGTGTGCAGTCACGACCGGAACCCGGAATTGGACTGGTAACCTCACCTCTCCACAGATCTGACCACACCAGAGCAGAGGGATTGCTCCTAATCACTGGGGCAGAAAACCCACTCACTCCTGGGGTGATGAGCATTCTGCCAGTAAGCAGAAATCGTCAGGGTGCTCGAGTGGGAGGGAATTAAGACATTCTGAAAGATGATGAGAAAACTTATGTTTAAAATGTTTATACTTACTCATTTTTAATACAATATTTTTATCAGTGTATTTTGTTTCTATTCACTGCCCTCCTGCTGCTGAGTCCTTGCAGATCTAACACACCCCCTCTCCTTCCCAACCTTGTATCTTTTTTTTTTGATAACCAAGTCCAAAGTTGTTCCGACCATATACTCCTAGGTGTACAACTATCCTTGCAACACAGTCAACCAACCAAAGCCCTGTACCCAGAAAACTGACATCGGCTTCCCAAGCTATCAACTGTCACTATCTCCTCATCTAGGGATGAAGGCAGGTGAGTCCTCCCAGCAACACGCTGACTGGCTTGACCTCATGCGGACATTCATAACTGCACTGAGTTTGTGAGGAGGCAGTTCTGTCATGTTCAGAAAATACTGTCTTCTCTGGTTCTTCCTTTACCTCTGGCTCTGACAAAAACCTCTACCCCATCTTTCCAGAAGCATTGTGAGTCTCGAGGGTAAGTGGCATGATATGAAAATCTCATTGGTGGCTGAGCGCTCTGCAGACACCTAGTCTCCTCGAGTTGATCGGTTGTAAATTTCTGTTCTCGCCACCACCCACCGCCCAAAAGAGCATCATCTCCGATGAGGACTGAGAGCTGCTCTAATCCATGGACACAGAGCCATGCACGTAGAGGGTTGCTTGACACGATGTCCATTTGGCAGAGCAATAGTAGTAGCTTCACTCCGGGGGCCTATGAGTTCTCTAGATGAAATACATTTTTTCATCACCCCAATAAAATACATTTGAAATCACACTATTTAAGGACGTTCCTGTTTCGGGTTTCCAGGTGTCTTTGATGAAGCTCAGGGGCAGACTCCAGCTAGTCTGCAAACACTGCAGGTTTGAAGTAGTACTGGGTTTTTAGTGACGTTTCTGTACGTACATGCATCTGTTCCCATGCTTGCCCGTGTGTCATGGAGCATGTGTGGAGATCTGAGGACAATTTACAGGAGCTAGCTCTCTCCTTTTGTCCTGTGGATGTGGGCATTGAACTACCTCATCATCAAGCTGGCCAGCAACCGCCTTTGCCAGCCCAGTCATCTCACTGGTGCAAGTACAACTATTTGTTTTCGTTTCTGCTCAACTATTTTGCATGCGCGGGGCGAGCATGCATGCTTTAGCAACTGCGTGGCACATGGAGGCCGAGGAGACCTTGGGTGTCGTTCCTCCCACACCATCCACTTTGTTTCTTTGTAGAAAGGGTCTCCCTCTGGCCTGGAACTTGCCTGCAAGGCTGGCTGGTCATCCAGCAATCCCCACCTGCCTCTGCTCTTATCCAACACCGGGGTTACAAGTGTATGCCGTGATGCCTGGCTTTTCAAATGTGGCTTCTAGGAATCCAATTCAGGGCTTCCTTCTCCCAAGACAAGCGATCTACTGGCTAGGCCATGTGCTTAGCTCATATCTGTGTCTTTGTAGGGTCAGTTCTCTCTTTCCACCTTGTCTCTTGTTTCTGCCGCTGGTGCAGCACCGTAGATTCCAGCTAGCTGGTTCAGGGGCTTCCTGCAAATCCTCCCTCCTGCCTCATGGCTCCACAGGAATTCTGGGTTCTTGCCACCACCGTATCCAGTTTTTTACGTGGACCCTGAGATCAAACAGGCTTGAACAGAGTTAGAAACAAACAAAAAAACAATCTCAGTGTCACACAAAGGACACAGGAACAAAGCAAAAATACCTTGGCAAAGCAACTCTTTTTTGCTAAAGAGGGTTCACAATGACCCAAGCCAGGCTAGCAAGTGCTCTTAGCCAAGCTTCAGCCGCATGTCCCTGACATAGGAGGTGACTGCATCTCATCCCATTGGTGAGAGCTCCGCTTTGCATTGCGACCTGGCTAATCAGCGTAAGGAGGGGGGATTCAGGAAATATGAGTCCTTGCCAGGTTAACTACCTTAGGTTAAAAACAAAATGCCCAACTCTCACAACACAATCGCTTTAATTGACTGAATCATTTCTCCAGCACTTTCCCATATGCCGTTTACCCCCAGTTATTTCCTGGCAGATGCGGGAGCATTGTACTTTCTCATTGGGGCTCAAAGGAATGCAACCCCCATAGAAGAGAAACATTTTAAATAAAGCAGCTTGATATTTCGTTTCCTCACACATCACCAACACAGGCCCACAGAGCATTTTAACCCAAATGGACAGCTCTTGGGCTAACTGGGTTACCATCCCGTTTTTCTAAGCTTCAAATAGAAACTGGCTTGCCCGAGCCCCTCCCGAAGCGGGGCCCTCTTTCAGTTTAACCTCAGCTTTGAAACCCATTAATGTTAAAAACCCGCAATCGCTGCAAAGAGATTCTTTCCCCATCTTTGGGTTTAAAACACAGTAAATGAAGTGTGAATTCTAATTCAGTCCTCAGCTTTCATATATCTGAACAAACCACATAAGTGACGTGTATTTTAACGGGACCAAGAGGCTTAACTAAATCACACGAGGAGAGTGTAAGAGATCCATGCTGAAAGATGAGAGTAATAACCTTGCAAAGATAAGTGTCGCAAGCATGAAAGGGCAGGGGGAAATTAACGGAGTTTTAAGGTCAAAGATCTACTGAGGGGTGTAAAACCGTCAGATCGTCTCTCGTGAAAATCTTTTCTAAAAAAAAATCCCAGACCGTGACATTCTCTAAGGTGTTGTTGTGTTCTCTAGACTGTCAAAGTGGGCAGCACGTGGATGGTGTCCATCTCTGCTGCATGACCCCTAAGAAGGCCAGCGGGCAGGATGGCTTTCATTGTGCTGCTGCTCCATTCTGCCACTAGAGGGAGCACGTGGCACACAACATAAGTGTAGCTAAGGCGGACCAAGAAGGCAGGAAGAGGCAGAGATGGCCATGGCCCTATACTGGTTAAAGCCTTCAGTGACTGTAAGGGGAATTTGAGATGCGCAGTGCTCAAACAGTCTAGACCACAATCCACTGGACACACTTCCCATACGCTGGCGTCACCCTGCATGCTGGACAGACTTGTCGGGTGCGTGATGAACCCTTTTCCACGTTTTACATAGGAACTCAGCGAGGCCCAGGAAGGAAGTAACCTGTGAGTCTAAAACCCAAAGGAAGCTGACCTCAGTTGTATGTGTCTATAACCTCAGCACTTGTAAGCCAAGGCAGGGGGATTGCTTGAGTCCAGGAGTTCACAGTCCACTGAACAGCACGGTGGGACTCCCAACTAAAATATCATCACTTAAAATGAAAAAAATTTAAGGAAATGGGTTGAGTCCCCTCAGATCCCAAAGGACATACCTTTTCCACTGTCCAGGAAGGAGTGGACCTCGGGCAGGATGCCCTTTGATTCTTACAGTTTTATGACCTCCCTACAAAAACAACACCCTGCCTTTGAAGTCAGTGTTCTGACATGGTATTTGTTTCTGATAAGCTGTCCCCTATTTCCCACTGAAGAGCAGCCATGGCATGGCAGAAGGGGAGAGCCCATGCTCTGAGATAACAAGTGACCCCATAAAAATGAAGGGAAATCAACTGAACCGACCAAGGAGCACAGGAAACAGCCATAAATCCTGCTCTGTCCTGAGTGCAAAGGCTCCAGTCCACTGTTGTGAAAGAATCCCACAGCCAATAAGCAAAAAGTGATTTTCTACTGATCTATGGGTCTCCCTCTGTTTAACAAAGACTATGGTGTGAAAGTGGGGGCATAGTCCTCCCACGGGCAAGATGGAGTTACAAGCTACTGTTAATCCCTGATCTTTAATCTTGGCTGTTAAACCTAGAGACAAGCACAGTTCTATAAAGCTTCATATAAGGGGAACTGAGTTAAGAACAGAGCACCTCTGCTTTCAAATAAGAGTGTGTGTGCAACTTTAAAAGACGGGAAGGGCTTGGCTCCCAGAGAGGTGTGGGAAGCCAGAGGTTGGGTATCTTCCTTAGTCGCCATCAACCTGTTTTTCTGAGAATCTCTCACTGAGCCTGGAGTTGAGCAGTTTATTCCTCTTGCATGCTAGGAAACCCCAGGATCCTCCTGTCCCCCAGCACTGGGATTACAGGCCTGTGCCGTGACACCCGGTTTTTATGTAGATGCCAAGATGGAACTCGGGTCCTCATATTTGTGCAGCAAGTACTCTACCAACTGAGCCACCCCCCATGACCTTCTTGGATGGGCAGCCACCTGCCTGTCTCATGAGACTCAGCCCCAGACCTCACCATCGCAGGAGCTCCCTTTCCTCCAGCCTCTCCATGTAGTCATCCAGCACGCATGCGCCGTTGCTTAACCTCCGCCGCCGCCGGTCTCCCTCAGCAGTGCTTGCCCGCTCACTGGGCATGCTCACAGCCCACCTCATGACTGAGGGACTATAGACAGTTTTGTTTTCTCACGGTCATCTAATGTAGAGATGGACTCCTCTGGAAGTGCGGTCACAACCGCTCCCGCTGTGGCAAAGCTCCTCACCTCCCTGACAAGGGACACACACATTGACACACACGTCTCCCTCTTACCCTTCCTCAGCAGCCCAGCATAAATTTCACTGGAATAACCCCCATCCCCACATTCCAACCTGTAAAGCAGGCCCTATCCCATGCTTGTAGAGGGTCCTATTCACTTCTTTCTCAGGAGCCCCTGTGGTGGTTTGGGATCTGTGGGGGCCATGCGAGTAGAGTTTTGTGTGTAGTTTGTGACCCCAGGAGTGTGTCATTGTTCAAGGCCTGTGTGGTGGTTTGAATGAAATGGCCCCCATAGGGAGTGGCACTATAGAAGGTGTGGCCATGTTGGAGGAAGTGTGTCACTGGGGGGTGGGTTTTGTTTGAGGTTTCAGATGCTCAAGCCAGGCCCAGTGTTACCTGTTCTTCCTGCTGCCTGCCAATCCAGATGTAGGATCTCAGCTACCTCTCCAGTACCATGTCTGCCTGCACAGTGCTATGCTTCCCAACATGATGATAATGGACCAAACTTAGGAACTGTCATGTGTCTCTTCACAGCAATAGAGACCCTAACTAAGACAGTCTGCTTTGGTGCAGGAGTATGTACGCTGCTCAGTGGATCACGAAGTGACAGGTACAGCGTGGGCATCGTCTGATGTCCTAGAACGAACAGCTGGGCGGTGGTGGCGCACACCTTTAATCACAGCACTCGGGAATCAGAGGCAGGTGGCGCTCTGTGAGGTTGAAGTCAGCCTGGTCTACAGAGCGAGTTCCAGGACAGGCTCCAAGCTACATAGGGGAAACCCTGTCCATAGAACGAACAAACTAAAGAGTTGAACAGAGGCAACTATTCAAGCCCCATTTCTAAACAGAGCACTCCCAGTAGACTTACAGATGACGCAAACACTGTTTTAAATAAAATAAACTAGAGCCAAGTGGCTGGGACCTCCAGGCTCTCCTCTGGGAACTGGGAAACAGTTCACTTGGTTGCTGTCTGATGTGTCCATGAAGTCCTTCTGACCCTATGCTGCAGCTGCCTATTCACATAGGTACAGCATATGTGTATATTAGGCAAGCAAGTGGCCAGGAGGCTGGGACCCCACTTGTTGGGGGGTGGCTGCCTGCTCTCAGAGACAGTGCTGGTGGCCTAGCAGGTAGGGGCCACTGCATAAATGGGAAGGAAGGCCTCATTGCGTGGGGTTCTAGCCTGACCAGCACCAGGCAGGACAGCATGCTGTGTGAGGTCTAACTCACATGAGGCCTAACACACACAGACAGAAGGGGAGGAGGCCTGGGAGAGGATGCAGAGCCATCTTGGGTGTCCCAGTGACACTGCAGATGGAGAAAAGAACAGTGAAAGGGTCCTGACTTCCTTCGTCTCTGGCCTTTGAGCAGCAGAGGTCCTGGGAAATGGAGGAAGGGACGGCAGCCTCCATCAACCCTATCCAGCCCACCTGGGATGGGCCCAGCACTTCCTATATAGGGATCTCTGTGCCAGCCAATGTGAGGGAGCCAGACAGGTGGACAGCGGCCCTGTGGGGGCGGGAGCATGGCTCCTGAGTGCTGCAGGACGAAGCCAATCAGACAGAGTGCCTCCCGCCAGGATGGCTGTGATCAACAAGTATGGGGCGGTTGGAGATACAGCAGATATTCTCACTGCCGGAGGGGATGGAGAAAGGGCACAAGCATGTTAGAAACAATTTGACCACTTCTTCATTATATATGTGTGGTATGTGTGTGTGTGGCATGTTTATGTGTGGTGTGCATATGTGAAGCATGCATGTATGTGTTTGCATGTGTGTATTGTGAATGTGTGTGTGTGTATGCATGTGAAGACCCGAAGTTGGGACTGGATTTCTTCCTGGATCACTCTCCATTTTATTCATTGGAGCATGGCCACTTACCAGATCCAAAACACTGATTCAGCCAAGTCTAGCTAGTCAGCTTACCCGGGAGCTCCCCCCCCCGTCCCTGTCTCCCAGTAACCGGTGGTCACCACACCTGCCTGAATTGGGTTCTGGGAATCCAAATGCCAGTCCTCAGGCTTGCACAGTGAACACTCTACGCACCGAGCCATCTCCCCAGCCTAGGCCATTTCTTTACAGAGCAAACACATACAGTCTGACCCAGTCATTCTATTCTAGGTATTCACCCAAAAGTAATAACGCACATGTCTGCACAAGGCGTGCACTCGGCTTCTCTGTGAAACCCCCAAACCAGAAATAAGTGAGTATCCATCACCTGTGGAATTCACAAAGGATGTCTAGCTGTCAGCATAGAGGAACAAACTATTGATAGCATGTGTGTGGGGGGGGAGGGAAAGGGAGACAGAGGGAGAAGGAGAGGGAGAGGGAGGAGAAATGCATATGAATATCAGAGGACAGTTTGCCTGGATCAATTCTGTCCTGCTACCATGTGGAAAGGGAGAGCCAAGGATGCATGAGGAGAGTCTGGAGGGAAAAGCAGATTTCCCAGGAAGGGAGCAGGATGGGGCAGCAGGATGTTCCTGTGTGCAAGGCCCAGGGCCAACATGAGTATAAAGGTGCTGAAACTCTAAGGAGTCTGTAGATTTGGGGGAGATAGTGAATGCTTACAGGGACCATGTTCATATTATTTCCTTATAGGCTAATGAGACACTTGGGGAAGCGATTATGGTCACAGTTATGAACATAGGCATGGCAACAGCCTGGAGGAGGGGTAGAAGCAGGGGATGAGTTCCTGGCTGCACAGATTGACCACTGATGGTGTTCAGAGTACCGAGTGGCTGCAGGTTGCCATCATGGAGAGTGTTACAGGCCTCCGCAGAGGGACGGAAGAGAGATGGGCAAGTTCCAAGAAAGAGATGATTAGATCTTGGTGAACGAGCCCCCAAAGATGACTGAGCACCCACTAAAGTGTGACAGGAAGAGCTCAGGGGAAGGCTTGTGCAGAAGGGGCAACAAGCCTGGGCTTGGGGAACAAAGGTTAGAAAGTTTGGCACAGGGGGTTTTCATACGACTTTCGAAAATCGTATGAAAACTGCAGCCCAGGAGGACAGAGGGACTGTGTGGGAAATCTCAGGGCACAAGGGCACCGTGATGTCATGAGTAATGATGAGACTGTCAGGGAGTGGCCAGCAAAACCACCACAGGCTCCAGGGAAGGGACACAGTTACCCCTTGAGATCCTGTAAATGTTTGCTCCCCAAGGTACCACAGTTTGTGGATGCTCAAATTCCTTACACAAAGGTGCAGTGATTGCTTTTATCAGATACATGACATCTTAGATACTTCGTTACGCCATCGACTGATCTCTTACCCTGCTTATGTACAACACTATACCAATGCTGATTATCTGGCCAAGCCAACCAACTGACTGACTAGCATAAGGAATGAGAGGGGAGACTTTGGAGAGAAATGTAAAGTTCTTGATGGTTGCTATACATGTTGTGGTTTACAAAGAAAGCTCCTTTTCATTTTCTTCCCCTTTTGCTTTTAACAAAAGGTTTTAACTTGTTCTGGTGAATTTGAGTAAATTTAGACTGTGACTTTGGGAAAACTGAAGGCATCGAACCCAGACCTTCTGAGACCCTTCTGATGATGTAACCGTCCTGCTGGGGGGGGTCCTCCAAACAGACCTGCTTCCCCTGAGCCACCCCTCCTTGCTGCAGTGTGGGAACTAGCTGGGATTTGCCGCTGCTTCTGGTGATGCCACGCTCTGGCCTGTAATCACACTCATTTTGCACACGGCACTGGATATTTAGTCACACGCTGTGCCAGCACACACACAAAGCAGATGTGAGAGCCTGTGTCCTGTATTAAGGGTTACAGGAATAGCTAATTACAGTTGTTATAGTATCCACAGGGGGGCTCTCCTGACATGCTAAATGCAGAGGGCTCGCAGTAATTGGGGGGCGGAGGGGAAGTGGACTGAACTTCCACAGTGTAAACAACACTCTGGTAAATTTCGAGAATCAGTGGAGTGCTGTATCTGCCCCAGGTTAGCCTCAGCTCTGTGAGGCCGTCTGCATCCATGGGAGGGGTGATCAGCACAAGGACCAGGGCCAGCATCCTGGTTTTTGAATGTTTTAATTTATTCTGCAAATTAAAAAAGTTAAAATATGATTACATAGTTTACCTCCTGTTACCTCCACCCTCAATTTTGCCCTCTCAAGCTCATGGCCCTTTTCTTGATTTTTACTGTTTTTTTAATATATAAGTGTATAAATGTATAAATACACCCCGCAGAGTCCATCCAGTGTCTGTCTCATGTACTGGACAACCAATTAGGGAGCTCATCCCCAAGGAAGGCCTCTCCCTCTCTCATTGGGTGTTGCTTGTAATCCCAGCACTGGGGAGGCAGAGGCCGGCCAATCCCTGGGGCTCACTGGTCAGCAAGTGTAGTCTACTTGTGAGTTCCAGGCCAGTGAGAGACCCTGTCTTACAAACATGAAGAATAGTGCCTGGGGAATGGCAGTCAAGGCTAACTTCTGACCTTTGTATGAATGTCACACAGCTGCTCATGCTAGCACACACAGACACATTCACACACACACACACACACACACACACACACACACACACACACACACGGTGGAGGAGTCCTTGCTAGACAAATTAGAAAGCAAATTATATCCTTGATTACGAGAGGAATACTTAGCCTGGTGTGGTGGCCCACACCTTTAATCCCAGCACTCTGGGGACAGAGGCAGGTAGGTTTCTGTGAGTTTGAGGCCAGCCTGGTCTACAGGGCTAGTTCCAAAAACAGTCAGGGCTACAAAATAGAGAGACCCTGTCTCTATAAACAAACAACAAAAATAAAACAAACAAAAAAAAAACCAGCCAAACAATTGGAAATGCTTAAAAAAAATCTTATTTCTCATAGCTATTCAAAGATACCAACACAAACACATACAGAACAGAACCTAAGATCAGACTACATGAGTGGTCATGCTTGTCATGCCTCTGACCACACATGGAATGCTCTAGGAAGTGCTCTATTAGCACTTCTAGGCATGTCAGGAATGCAGGCCCCAGATGCCCCCAGCTCAGCTGGCCTAGAAGGCACACTTGACTGTCCCCTTCACTTCCTGTCTTTGAGTCTCCTGGTGGGCTGCAACTCACCAGACACTATTTCCAGGTGACATTGTGGTGAGCTGGTAACATGTCACAGAACCTGGCAAGTGTCTTTCAGGGCCATCAAGAGTAAGGCTCTCCAAAAACCTCTTTAAAAAGTATTCATTTTTATTTTCTCCCAGTGGTCCTTTAAGATATGGCTGAAACATGAGGGGACCCTAGCAGCATCCCCCAACTTCACGGTCGAGCGATGTGGTGGCAGACAGACAGACATCCACTTCCTACTGCTTCTTGGGGACTTCCAAGCACAGATGAAGAGAGATGACCTTCTGAAGACAGATACTTGGTCTGGAGCAAAATTACTCAGATGCCACTAAGTCTGTGAACCAAAGGTGTGTACCACTGCTGCTGTAGGAGTTAGCCTGAGGTAGGGAGTGTAACACCCAACCGTTTTCCTAGGTTTTACATCTGTCCTCTGGAGAGTTGTTTTCTTCGCTTTCCCCAAGCCCCTGTGAGAGGCACTTGCAATTTTTTTTAAAACAAAGTTTAAAAAAAAATTTTATTCATCTTATTTTTTCTTTTTTTTAATTTAAATTAGAAACAAGCTCGTTTTACATGTCAATTCCAGTTCCCTCTCCCTCCCCTCCTCCCATCCCCCCCCACCAATCCCTTATCCCATCCCCTTTCTGCTCCCCAGGGAGGGTGAGGCCTTCCATGGGGGATCTTCAAAGTCTGTCTTATCATTTGGAGCAGGGCCTAGACTCTCCACCATGTGTCTAGGCTGAGAGAGTATCCCTTTATATGGAGTGGGCTTCCAAAGTCCATTTGTGTACTAGGGATAAATACTGGATCTACTACCAGAGGTCCCATAGATTTCCCAGACCTCCAAACTGATATCCTTGTTCAGGAGGTCTGAGTCGGTCCTACGCTGGTTTCCCAGCTATCAGTCTGGGGTCCATGTGCTCCCCCTTGTTCCGGTCAGCTGTTTCTGTGGGTCTCTCCGGCCTGGTCTTGACCCCTTTGCTTATCACTCCTCCCTCTCTGCAACTGGAGTCCAGGAGTTTTGGTTCTTTGAGACAGGATTTCTCTGTGTAGCCCTGTCTATTATGGAACTCTCTGTAGACCACGTTGATCCCGAACTCGCCTGTGCCTGTGCCTGTGCCTGTGCCTGTGCCTGTGCCTGTGCCTCCCAACTGCTGGGGTTAAAGGCCTATTCCACCACCACCTGGTTTGAAAAAACAAAAACAAAAATAATTTTCTGGCCAGAGACCATAGTAAGTTATCTGCTTCTCAATCTGTGCTGTTTTAAAATCGCTTTCCCTGATATCCCCATGGTTGCAATTTGTGGGCAGAGATTTGACACCAAACACAAAGAGCCATTATGTCCCCCCAGTGACAAACTTATAAATCAGGAAGGGGAAAAAAAAAGAAAACCCTACATGGCCAAAGGGTTGCATAACATTTAATTATCGTAATTAAGAGAGGAGCTGGAGAAAAGAGTTACCAGCCAATGAGAGGGATGCTTATTGGCTCAGGGGGATTGGCTGTGAGCCAGACATTGCTGGTGGGCAAAACAAAGTTAGCTCTCAGCAGCTGCAGGAGGTGCTAGTTACAGATAGGGCCTTCAGTAAGGAATGAAGGCCCAGAGAAAGGAAAGCAGCCTGTCTCTCCAGAAAGTCTCCCACCGACCGCCTCGCTCTGGCCACCGGAAAGGTGACATGGTCTGGCTGGGCTGTGGGGATTTCAGGGTCAGGACACACTCTAGCCATTTGACCATGAGATATGTTTGCCCTTTGGGGTTTGTGGAAGCCAGAGCAGTGGAACTTGTCACTGTTGTCAGGGAAAGACCTCTTACCAAAAACCAAATTATTTGCAGGTTCCGGAACACCTTTGTTTGCTTCAGTCATAAACATTCCAGTTACTTCTGATATTTCGTCCAAAATGGTACCAAGCTATATATTCCTCAATTCTCAGAAAATCAAGTGTTTGATTGTGGAGGCCACATGAGCAACTCTTGTCTTACACAAATTACCTCATTTTCACCTCAGGAATTCTGAACCATAGTGCTGTCATTCCCACCAGGGCCACAAAGGGGCACTGTGGAAGGCCAGCTTGAGCTGACTGGAGGAGCCACAGCAGCGCTGCTGGCCCTTACATGGGTGGCATTTTAGTCACCTTGGCTCTACTCAGCAACACTTCCAATGACTCCGAGGGCACAAATACTCCATCGGGCGGGTGAAAGCCTCAGGGCCCCTCTGAGCAAAAAAAAAAAAAAAAAAAAAACTCCCTTTAAATGGTGCATGAGAGCCAAGCATGTGTTTCTAATGGGCACACCCGGAGTGATGCGGCTCTGCTCCCAATGCTAGGGCAACCCGCCCACGGGCTGGAGAGCCAGGCCTACCCACCCGCTCATCCACCCCATACTTCACTACAACTCCATGGGAAGCCTCATTTGGTGCTGATAAAATGAAATCTCTGTGCTCTCCTTGGAAGTAAATGTCCAGGCACTCTGGTTGCTTTGGTCTTCACTGGATTGCAAGGGCCAAGGAGGACTCCAAAGCCAAGGCCGGCTGTGAGACGGTATGCTCCACTTCCTGCAGAGCGGGGTGTGTTCGGCTGCGGTCTCCAGTGGCTTTTAGAATTCTGCTTAACCACCCGTTTTCATTACAAACCTCCTCCTTTGAGTCAGAGAAATTACAGCTCACAGACTTGCCTAATTTGCATGCTTCCCAATTATTTACCTTGATGCAAACACCAGAATCCAAGTGTTTAGTAACAACAATGGCTGAAGTCTGGAATAAACTGAGCCCCTTAATCATCATCAGAGGGATTCTGTCTTGTAGCCTGACACAAACAAAAGAGGAGATCCAGGCTGGGCGGTGGAGCTGGAAGTCTTTGGTTTGTTTGGTTGTTTTTTTGTTTTGTTTTGTTTTTTAAGTCCCACATGCTTGGAGCCAGAGGAGGCACACAAACACAAAATCCAAGCAGTAAAATGTGTTTGGTTGTAACTGGAAATCTTAAATGATGCATGGAGGAGAGTTTTTTTCTGCTTGGCAGGTTCTCTGTTCCCAGCCCTTAAGTTCTGAAGATTCTATAATCTGAAGGCAAAGGGACGTGTTGCTGGTTTAGGCTAATGTGTTACCGGGCAGAAGAGAGATTATGATTGACAAAACAAACACCCATGAGCACCCTCCCCCCCCCCCCCAGACTATCTGTATCCAGTCTGGGAAGCTGGGGTAGGTTGTCTCTCATCTCCTTAGGCGGTCCTAACCCTGCACCCAGGACCTCACTCCCAGCTTGGACCTGCACAGCTCATGGCCATTTCCCCGTTTACACTCTATAACTCTCGCATCTCCAAACAGCTGCATTCAGCAAGCTGCTGTCCACTCTGCACCACTGACATGAAATTACACGTCACCAAGGCCAGTCGCTCCCACAGCGATGCCACGTTTCCTGTCCCAGCTGGGTGCTTGGTGCTGCTTGACAATTTGCCTCATTGGTCCTCATCTGTCTTCTCATTTCCCACCAGAGAACTTTTAGATATCAGTACTCCTGTGCTGACCATGGGTTGACGTCCCGTAAGCCCATCCTACGTTGACAGCGACCAGTTGAAAACTCCTGTCAAGACTCTTACTGAACACCGAACTGGGAGCTGAGCTCTTTGTCTCCACCCAGCATTGTGGGGGATGGACTGGAACACATGGCACTAGCCTGGAAAAGATCCAAGCCCAGAATCAGAAGTGGGATTTCTGCTGAGTGCTTATCACTTGTGCACCATGAGGACGACATCCTGAAGTTGGGGACTGTCACCATGTAAAGTGCTAAGCATGTGTTTGCTTCCAAGGGCTGCTGGAAGGCTCTGAGGGGCAGTCTGCCTGGGTATCTCTCCAGCCTCCAGTAAAGTATCGTTTTTCCTCTTTCTGCCTATGTCCGTGTTGACCTCCTTTCCGCCATCTTCTCTGTGGGTATGTCTGTGTGTCTGTCTTGTTACAAAGCCATCAGTCATTGGACTCAGGGCCCATCCTAATCCCCATGAACTCATCTGAACTGGAGCCCATCTGTCTGCAGTCTCCACTCACAGGGTCCTGTCTGCAGGCTCCAGTCCTTAGGTGTTGAACTTTCTCCCAGCTCCACCCACAGACCTCAGACATTCAGAAACACTCACAGCGTTTCAGCTCTTTTAAAGAGCTTTTGTTTTGTTTTTTGAGACAGGATTTCTCCTGGAATTCGCTCTGTAGACCAGGCCGGCCTCGAACTCAGAGATCTGCCTGCTCCTGCCTTCTGAGAGCTAGGATTAAAGGCATGTGCCATCACCGCCAGGTCAGTGGTGGTTAAGAGCACTGACTGCCCTTCTGAAGGTCTGGAGTTCAATTCCCAGCAATCGCATGGTGGCTCACAACTATCTGTAATGAGATCTGGTGCTTTTGTCCAGCCTGCAGGCATGCATACAGGCAGAGCACTGTACTAAATAAGTAAATCTTTTTGCCGGGCATTGGTGGTGAACATCTTTTATCCCAGCACTCAGGAGGCAGAGGCAGGCAAATCTCTGTGAGTTTGAAGCCAGCCTGGTCTACAGAACAAGTTCCAGGACAGGCTCCAAAGCAATACAGAGAAACCCTGTCTTGAAAAAAAAAAGAATTTTTTAGCAGCCTCTATACTTTCTGGGGATGATGTGTGTGGAGTCCTGTTCTAAGTCACTATACACTGTGAGAAAAAGTGGCCTCAGACTGTGTCCTGAGTGACTCCACTTTACAAAGCCAAAATTTGCCTCACCTGAATGCAGTTGCAGAGGCAGGGTGACTCCTCCTCTCCCAGTATTAAGCATCATCGCCCATCCAGGACAGGTATGAGACATATGCCGAAAAATAGCTCATTCCCACGAGCCAAAGGGTACCACTGAAAAACTTTATCCAAGTGGGCCGGGAACACATGCATATTAAAACAGAAAAACCAGATCAAGAGAATGTAGGACACCAACATCCAGGCACCACAAAGACAAAGCTGTAACAATGCAGCAGACACAGGCCCTCTGGCCTGCCATCCAGACACCCAGTGCATGTATCAAAGGTCTGAGAGATAGAGAACCCACCATCATCCCTTGGTTGCAGCTCAGCGAGGTCTCCACGGCTTGATGGAATTGCCATTCATCATCTATGTGTGGCAAGCGCCTTAGAAGGAAACCATTATGCATACAATTCCATCCATCTATCCATTCATCCACCTGTCCATTCGTCTGTCCACCATCCATCCGAACACAAGTCCTACACCTTTTTCTTCAACAGTTACTTCTTCAGTAGCTTGACCAGACTCCAGGGCTCCAGCTAGCTCTGCTTGCTCCCAGTAGCTCTGCCTGCACCCAAGATCTCCAGATGGTTTCCTGCATATTAATGACACCTGCTGTGACTCGCTTTGCACCCCTATCAGATCTCTGCCTCCACGATGGCCCTTTTGAACTCACAAAGAGGCCTTTTGTGGCCACTTTGTAGCAAACACTTACATGCACATAGATATATATTACTGTATGAGGTGGAATATACAATTTGAGAGTATTAGTAATTAAAATTGCACTAAAAGTACCTGTGACTGCCAATAGTCAGCTCTCAAAGGACATCAGGACTCCGTGTTTAAAACACCCAAAGAAATTGACATAGCTTGTGTATTTTATATATATAGTCTTTTTATTTATTAACTTTTTTCATTTATTTTATCAGTCACAGTTTCCCCTCCCTCATATTGTATAGGTATGAGTGTTTTGCTACATGATGTATGTATACTCTATGCATGCCTGTGCTGGTGGAGGTCAGAAGAGGGTGTTGGATTCCCTGAAACCAGAGTTCTGGATGGTTGTGAGCCACCATGTGTGTTGTGGGAACTGAACTCAGGCCCTCTGCAAGATCAGCAAGTACTCTTATCTGCAGGCCCTTGGATCATTAAACTGTTCTGGCTGCAAGGAAGCTTCTCATTTTCCCTCAGTTGTGCCAACACCAGGCAAGCTGAGGGTTTTCCTTGCTGCTGTTAATTGATGTCTTTAGACAATATCGCCTGCACTGGGCACCAGGCTTCTCTTCAGTTAGCCTGACATTGAGTTTGTCATGTTCACAGCACATCTGTCCATGGACCCCTGCTAAGATCCAGTCAGTTGATTTGGGGGCTTCTGTTTGTGGCCGCTGCTGTCATGTATGTGTTTAGGTATGATGTGTATTACTCAGTTCAAGATCTGGTGTTACTGGGCTAAATTTTCTCACCTTGGTGAAAATGCCTAAGTAGTAGCTATTAATTATGAGCAGATCCCAGAATCATCTTTAGGGATCTCCCAAAGTGCAGTTGTCTGATAGTGTCTTCAGAGTGACTGCAGAATTCTCACAGGAGGGTGGCTCATTTTTTCCCATTTAGCTCGTCTTGGATTCCAGCATGGCAGCCTGAAAAGAAGGTTAGAGCCAATTTACCTATGGCTCTGAATGCAGGGGAAGGTGGACTCAAGACACACAGTTTTGATGCTGTTTATATGTCCTTGACCTGATGCACCCCCCAAAACACTCATTACTAAAATAAAACGGAAGATAACAACAACTGCAGGAGAGCTAACAGTTCAGTGCGGACTTCACACACAGCAATAAGAACAGTAGGGCTGAGCTCAGCAGCACAGACCTGTTGCTTCTCAAGAGGCAAGCTCAAGGCTAGACTGGGCTATGGAGAGCTCAAAGTCAGTCTGGGCAACTGAGTGAGACCCTATGTCAAAATTAAAAGTAAAGGGAGGAATGGGGGCGTATCTTAGTGGCAAAGCGCTTTCCTGGCTTGTGTGAAGCCCTGTGGTCAGTCCTCAGAAACCAGGAAAGAGAAAAGAGAAAAGGAAGGAAAAAGAAAGACAGCAGAAACCCCAGGGGCAAGGATGCTAATCGTTACTAACAAGGAGAAACAGCAGGGATGGGCGGTGTAAACATGGTCATGGTGTGTCTTGTGACCAAATGAATGAAAAGTCAGATACTGAAACAGTTCTCAGCTTTTTTTTAAATGTAAAATTGTTGTTCGATGCTCTCTGAAATTCAAGGAAACAGGTGCTTAGGTGGTGTTTCTGAAAACAGGCTCGAAATGGCTTTCACTTCTGTGACCCTGTCATGAAGAACAATGTTCTGAAGGATATTTAAGATTTATAACTGCCAACCTGCTGCAATCACCTGGAAGAGAGTTTCCATGAGGGAGTGTCTAGATCAGGTTGGCCTGTGGACCTGTGTTGTGGAATAGTATTTTAAGATGTGCTACATTTGTTTATGCTGCGGAACATTTGCTTAGTGGTGCAAAGATGTGTTGCATTCCGTTATGTTGCGTTTGTTTAACTCTGCGAAGCTACATTACTTTGCCTGTCTAAAACACCTGATGGTCTAATAGAGAGTTGGATGGCCAATAGCGAGGCAGGAGAAAGGATAGGAGGGGCTGGCAGGCAGAGAAAATAAATAGGAAAAGAGGATCAAGGAGCAGGACAAGGAGAAGAACTCCAGGAACATCCAGCTACACAGCCAGCCACGGAGTAAGAAGTAAGGAAAGGTATATAGAAATAGAGAAAGACAAAAGCCCAGAGGCAAAAGGTAGGTGGGATAATTTAAGCAAAGGAAAAATGCCTAGAAATAAGTCAAGCTGAGGCCAGGCATTCATAAATAATAATAAGCCTCCATGTGTCATTTATTTGGGAGCTGAGTATTGGATCCCAAAAGAACAAAAAGCCCAAAGAGGGAGAGTAAAAGCCAACTACAGGCCTGTCTTTGGGAGACTGTCTTGCGTATGCTGATGATGGGAGAAGACTCAGCCTAAAAATGCAAAGCACCATTCCCTGGGTTGGATTCTGAACTGTACAAGAACAGAGGAATCGAGCTGAGAACTGAGCATGCGTGCACTGGACTTTTCTCTCTTCTTGATCACGGGGTGAGATGGGACCAGCTGCTTCAAGTTCCTGACATTATCAATATCAGTAATACTCATGGTCTTTGTTGAAAATCTAAATCATGCAAATGTCCAGCACTAGAGGACTTGCTAATAGAACCATGGTTGTCCCTAGGAGAAAGCCTTCTGGCTCTCTCCTCACTTGAAGTGCTGGGGGAGGGTGTTCTAGATCAAATCTTCACTGTTCTGTGATCACATTCCATTCTGGGCACCCAGTCCTGTGTTCATCTTCAAATTCCTTGTGGCGAGGATGCTTTCCAGTTATCTGTACATCTCCATCACCAGCTCAGTGCTTCACCTGCAGTAGAAATGTAATTAGTGTTAAACAGGCAAGAGGGGTGCTTGTACTACTGTGTGTGTGTGTGTGTGTGTGTGTGTGTGTGTGACTTTAAATTCCACTGGTGATTCTTTGGGAGCTCCATTCATGTTTTAATTTTAAGAAAATTTTATCCCCACTTTACTGACTAAGATGCCAGCCTTTCTGGAAAGGTACTAGTCACTTGAGACAACGATTGGATACCTGACAAAGTGGGCTGGGGAGATGTCTCTGGGGAAAAAGGCCCCTGTGACCAAGCTTGACAACCTGCACTGGATCACCAGCAACAGAAGGAGAGAATGGACTTGTCCTAGCTTTACCTCCATTGCTGTGATAAAATACCCCGACAAAGGCCACTTTACGGTAGGCAGAGGTTATTTGTCTTACAATTCCAGGTTATGTAGCAGGAAGTCAAGGCAGGAACTTGAAGCAGGGAGTCATACCACATCTCCAGTCAAGAGCAGAGAGAGACAGAAACAAAGGCATGGCCACTGCTCAGCTCCCTTCCTCAATTCTTACACAGGTCAGGATCCAAGCCCAGAGAACAGCACTGCCTACATATTAGGGCATATATTTTATTCCCAGCTCAGTTAATTCAGTCTAGAAACTCCTGCACAAACGTGCCCACTGGATTGTTTCCTTGATGATTC